TTGTGACGTGTATATCCATTGCTAGGCAACGACTCGGTACATACATTTCCGCGTTAGTCAACGCATAAGAATAGGACATCCCTTGATAGGCCTTCTTAAGAATAGAAACTGTGTTTTACGTCGGGTACGTTCAAAGTGATTCAAATAAGTGTTCGGCAGCATAGACTAGACTGGAGAATAGCGATCGAGGAGTGAAGAGTCCAGCCTGCCGGGATATGAGCTTGGGAGCAGAGGAACTGAACTGAGTTGAGTCTTCGTAATAATGGCAAGAAAGGAATTAGGTTGTGAAAAGAAAACTAGATGTGTTATTTGAAGTGACAGAGAGACTGTGACAAATCCGTTGCCAGGATACGACTAGTGAAGACTGAGAACCCTAGTGCGTGTGTAACGGTGAAATGTAAAGTGTGTATAGAATGGCGGTAGCGCCGTGTTACCCGTAGTCCCTAGCTGTGAATGTATAAAGTGCAATAAATCCACTCATCCAGTCCAAACCCCAACTTATTAGTCACGGGTCAGAGTTTCTTCACGACTGGCGCTTTTCCGCCAATTATTTCGTCTTCGCGATAAGTCTCTTGAGACCGACAACAAGCATTATTTTCAACTGCATACTTGCTTTCGACTGCCTCTGTGGTCTAGTGGTCAGAGTTCCTGGCTACAGATCTAGATGTCCTGGGTTGGATTCTCGGCGCTACCAGATTTTATGAGAAATTGTGGGTCTAGAACGGGGTCCACTCAGCCTCCTGAGGATAACTGAGGAACTATTTCAAGGAAATGGCGTCTCCGATCCATAAAACCAAGATTAACGGCCTTGGCGATCCGTTGCGCTGACAGTGAGACGCCCTCTGTCCGCTAAAGTTGGCACTAACTTCGCCGGCAAGCGGCGGTCGCTCGGTCGGTATAGGTCGCTTGTGGACTACAGGCCACGGAGTTTGTTTTCTTTTGTTCATATACTTACTTGTATATTTATTACGTAACATCCTCTCTGACGAGAGGATGTTTCTGTAGTTTACTATTGCTGCTGGCCCTCGTCAGCGCAGCCATTCTCTATATCTGAGTCCCGCGGGACTAGTGACCACATTTTACTGTCTCAGTTTCGAGACTCCCCCAACCTAGAGGGCCAGGTCTCCGTATTTATATCCCTCAGGAACAGGGTGACCCAGTGATAGCCCCAGGCACTGGGTCCCCTTTACGTCCCTCCTACAATTCGCAGGGCCACGAGGGAAGTTTTGAAGTATTAATTTCATCTAAGTAGTGCTTAAAGCTTCCGTTCTTACCTCATAGAAAACAGGTCACTTCTCCATTATAAAGACCAATCATTTTGAGCCATTATCGCTGCCTGTGCTAGGAATAATTCTAAATCTCTTAAACTCGCCTTGTGAGAAATCTGCAGATTCTATTTAATGTTAAATCAGACGATATGTGCGGTGTCAACTTTGCTTTAAAGTATTAAGAAGAAGCATTGCTTTCTGTCAGTTCGACGTTACAGCACTTTTAGCCAGGTACAATAATACGTTCTTCCAGTGACAAATGATCCGATGAATGCGGCTTTTGATGCTTTCATGTCCGTGTTTGGAGTGTGTGTCTGTTCCCCTTGACTCTGCCTTCAGTAGGTCGATTTCGTGACACTTGTTATGAACATTAAGCCACGCTATTGGAGACCGCTTTGTAATTCTCTGTCATGAATAACAGCAATATTAACTGTCGATATGAGAACAACAGCAGTGTCATTTGGTCCTGAAATACAGTGTCACACTAACTGATGTTAGGGCTATTTGTTTGTTGAGTTCAGGACAGGAATACATGTACATGTACATATCTTTAAGTTACGTATGCTGACACATCATAAATGTACCTTCACATATGAGTGCTGTTGGTCTCACATTTGTGACTTTCTTACTCATGGAGCTGAGCCCTTATGAGGAATCGCCAATTCTGCAGCTACACAAAAATTTCTCAACATTTTAAGGAACCCAAAGGTGCTTTACTGTTTTCACAAGAGCCCTCCACTGGTCCTTATCCTCAGCTAGATCAGTCCAATCCATACTATCCCATCCTATCTCTCTTAAGATCCATTTTAATATTGTCCATCCACCTATGCCTTGGTCTTCCCAGTGGTCTCTTTCCTTCTGGCTTTCCCACCTATATCCTATATGCAGTTCTGTTCTCCCGAATTCGTGCTACATGCCCTGGCCACCTCATCTTTATTGACTTTATCATCAAAATTATACTTGGAGAAGAGTACAAGTTATGAAGCTCCTCATTAACAGCTGTGACTATGGGGATTAAATGTCGTGTGGGATTTCACACTGTTTAGTTTGGTGGAAGTTCGCCTACGTTTCGGAGCAACATGCTGCATCTATTGTCAGGGTATTCCATCTTTTGATATAAAGCTGAAAGCAGCAGAGTCATCTGAAATATCAGTAAACTACTACCATATTTCACGATGTTACATCCCACAAGACCGCAATCAACCTAAAATGTTTGTTTAATGCTTTTTTAATCATCAGAGCATGGGTATGAATGATTTAATCAGATAACTTTCAAGTCATGGACAAAGAATATAGAATTTTGCATTGATTAACCCTTCAGGGCCCAGTGGTTACTCGTTGAGTATGTAACACTTGCTTTAACATACGAAAACCCTGCCTTCTACCCACACAGTGTTTCCCTCTGCATTTCGTATGGTTCTCTCGATGGGCAGCGACTGTTTTCCTAAACAAAATTAATCGTCTGGGCTTTGTAGAGCAGACGTAATATGTTTCCTGTGATGTACGAACTGGATTCTTTTACTTTATTTAGAAGAATTGGGCTGTCTGTACTCCAAAATATAATTTTAGAGGGAAAACACAATACACGAAAAAGTAAACGGACCCGGAAATTGTGAAATTGTAATTGCTTTACGACGAGTCTACTTTTGGCAGATGTTTTTAGAAACTAGCATAAGTACACAAGCAAGAATAGTTAAATTCAATGGGAACTATGATTTCTTGTCTACAAAATCCACCAGAGAGTTAAAACTTTTATATGTAGTGACAAAAAATTAAACTGTTGGCAGTTTCTGGTGTGAGAACACTGTTAGTTTGAAGGACTTATAATTGTACCCATAATGCCTCAGAACATTAGAAACAGAATGGCGAGTGAAGGGTCGAGTGAAGTAATAAAATATTTAAAATTCCCTTGGATCGAGTTAATCTCCGCTGGGTCACTGCTTTACGTGTCAGAGAAGTAATGTTGGCGTGGTTTTCACGCGGTTCTAAATTTGCTGCTAAAGAACTGATTATGTTCGACCATAAAGTTTAAAGTTATACATGTGCATGCACTTTACTGTGATTAATATCCCCGTAATTGTGAACGTGGTATACAAAGTTTCACGGCCTGACTGCGAGATTACGGGCTGAGACCGGAACAATGCTGCCGACGGTTTGCATGTTCCTCTTATCTGGGAAGTGCATAGACAGATAGGCAGCATGAAACAGTGCTCATGTAAATGTGCTGAGGGTCGTTGCGAAACGGCAAGAGATTATAGAAGTAAGAAAAGGCGATGTACGACTATATAAGGGTGTACATTTTTTATACTGCCGGATTTAACTTGTGGCTACGTGGGAATGTCTTCAACCCATGAATAACTAATAGTTTCAGCGCAAAAATGAGGCATTTATATGACAGCGGTTGTACGAATTGGTTGATCCTGTATGCAGAAAAATATTTTCCGTTTAGAATTTTAATGAGGAGCCGGGATAGCTCAGTCGGTATAGCGACGGGTTAAGAGTTGGACGGCCTGGGTTCGATTCCTGACAAAGGCAAGGGATTTTTCTCTTCTTTACAATGTCCAGACCGGCTCTGAGTTCCACTCAGTCTCCTATCCAATAGTTACTCAAGTAATTTTCTCCGGGGTGTAAAGTGACCGGGACTTGAAGCTGACCACTTGTCTCCTGCCAGTCCCGAGATCAGGAATAGTGGAGTTATACTAATACACCAATACGTCTTCATGGAATAATGCTTAATTAAGTACATTGACAAATTTACCTTTTTCAGTTTTATGTGAAATTTTATCTTTTATCTCATATACCCCCTCCCCCCTTTTTCAACTGAAAGATAATTGCGAATTTATATATGTTTCCCCCCAGGAACTGAGATTAGCTCCATCTAAAGGAACCAACGCAGTGCCCTTAATATTGTGGCGTGTCGCGCTAGCTGGATGCCCCCCCCCCCCGGGCNTGACGCGCCGAGCGGAGCCGAAGCGAGCCGAGTCCCAGCACGCTGGTCGCTATGCAACGCGGGTAAACAGTGGTTGCGTGAGACAACTCCCGACAGCGTTGCTAGCAACACGGCGCCAGACAACAATGGTGCCTGTTACGTAGATGTTTCCTGCGTTGTCCGGAACGAGGCTAGATACGGAAGCGAAGACTATTCATAGTCAGTTCTGAGTTCTCAATCTAGCCAGCGGAGAGTAACGAGTTAGCCAGCAACCAGTCATTTGTATTCTGGCATTTGCAGTCTAGTATTTGTGATACTGCAAATAGCAGTAATTGTGAATCTGTAAATTGTGTGATTGTATGAGCGAGTGTGGAATAAAATTCCCTATATCCAATAAGGCGTGAAGTTATTTGTCGCGTTATACACCCAACACGTGACAATATATTTACCTGATGATGGAAATTGAGCCGGATTCCAAAACGTCTGTGGGAACTGCCCACATTCAAGCAAGTGTGACAACGCGAGCTTCATTGCTTAGCAACGACGAGTAAACAGCGGTTGCTAGGCAAAGCCTACAACAGTAAGAACAGTGACACGTTTTCTATATGTCCGACTCAAGGTTACATAAGAAGATACATTGAGTGGAAGTTACAGTTATAGATTCTGCAGTTCTACAGTTCTGGTTCAGTGTGTTCATTATTGTTATTATTATTCTTCAATTCTTCAAACGCAAGCTCGTCCATGTATACGGTACAACTGTAATAAATACTATAGGACCGTTCAACTAGTGGTTGTCTCTTCATATGGCATCCCACACAGGACTTGGGAGTGGTGGTGCATTTCCAGAGATTCCTGTGGCCCAATATCCATTGAATATGGGTAGAGAAAGAAAAGAAAGCACATCAAATGCCCTTGCAGTTCAGTTGGATGCCCAGGGGAAGATACAGTATGACGTTCTGGCACGTCAGGGACACTCGAAGGAAAAGATAATCTACTCGAAACTGACAGACTTGCTCCCAGCGGAAGTGGTGGCTGAAGATGATCCAAGCCTGGAGAGACCATCAGAGGACGATGTGCAAGAGACTACTGAGAAAACTCGTCTTGCATTGGAACGTCTCACACATACAAAGATAGCAGCTGCTATGCCAGTCAGTTGTGCAGAGAGAGCCGGTCCTGCACAGTACATCCGTTACACACCATCTCAGCAAGGGGCTGCCTTCAATTCAGGTGCAAAACAGCGTGTCATTCGAATGGTAGAGGCCCAGAAAGATCCAATAGAACCACCAAAGTTTAAGATCAACAAGAAGATACCTCGTGGACCTCCCTCACCTCCTGCTCCAGTAATGCATTCTCCAACAAGAAAGTTGACTGTTAAAGAACAGAAGGAGTGGAAGATTCCACCACGCATTTCCAATTGGAAGAATGCTAAGGGGTATACAATCCCTTTGGACAAGCGTCTCGCTGTAGATGGACGTGGCTTGCAGCAGGTTCACATTAATGAGAACGCTGCCAAAGTGGCAGAGGCCCTTTATATCGCTGATAGAAAGGCCGGTAAAGCTGTGGCGATGCGAGCCCAGCTGGAGAAGAGGTTAGCACAGAAGGAGAAGGAGAAGAAGGAGGAACATCTACGACAGCTTGCGCAGAAGGCCCGTGAGGAACGGGCTGGCATTAGAACTCAAGCGGCTGCCACAGATAAAGATGAAGAGGCTAGAGAGCGTGATCAGTTGCGTTATGAACGTCACAAAGATCGTCAGCGTCAACGCAACATTGCTAGAGCTGCTCCAGACAAGAGGTCAAAGCTGCAGCGTGAACGCGAACGGGACATCAGTGAGCAGATTGCACTGGGTTTGCCAGCCAAGAACGTATCAGGTGGAGAAGTTCAGTTTGACCAGCGATTGTTCAACACTACAAAAGGCATGAACTCTGGCTATGGGGATGATGAATCATACAATGTGTATGATAAACCGTGGCGTGAGAGTGGAACCCTTGGTGCACATATCTACCGCCCTAGTCAAAACTTGGACAAGGATGTGTATGGAGATGATCTCGACAAGTTGATCAAAACAAATAGGTTTGTACCTGATAAAGAGTTCAGCGGTACTGATCGTACTGCCACCAGAAGTGGACCTGTTCAGTATGAGAAGGAAGGGGAGGATCCGTTTGGCTTGGACAAATTCTTAACACAGGCTAAACGTGCCAGCAAGCGTCCCAAGGATGACCGTGATCGACGAGGAGAAGAACATGATAAGCGTAAGCGACGGGAATAACTATAGGGTGTGGAGATACCAACAGCTTATCAGTATAAGAAATGAATATGTTGTATTTGTGATGAAGTTGTTTTAATTTGATTCGGTGAATTGAAGATGAAAATTTATCTAGTGTTGCAATCAGTGACTTCCACTCAATGTATCTTCTTATGTAACCTAGAGTCGGACATATAGAAAACGTGTCACTGTCCATATTGTTGTAGGCTTTGCCTAGCAACCGCTGTTTACTCGTCGTTGCTAAGCAATGAAGCTCGCGTTGTCACACTTGCTTGAATGTGGGCAGTTCCCACACGTCTTTGCTTTAACCAAATAAAACATTGGGAAATGACCAATATATACGTGCCCGTTTAATGACACTCGTTCGTAAAGAATGAAGTTCTATAAAAGTTTAATTTCATAATTTCATACTTGAGCTTACTTAAACTATGTCAATATTAGAGTAAATAAAATTTCTTAATTACTGTAAATCTTTGTGGAAACATTTTAAGATTTTTCCTTTGAACACCTTTCGAATTTTCAGACAACAGATGCCCTGAGGGTGCGGTGGGGTTCCATGAATCGCAGTGACATTTCAGAGGGTTTCTCTTCCCACATTCAGAAAGTTAAAGGTATCAAAGAGTAGGTTTCAGAAAAAAAATCAGTTTAGAAAATGAAAATATTTTTTGATTACCAGAGTAGATTTAGAAATTATTACAAATGCGATTGTTCGTATTTTTCATTACCACCATTCTCTACTCTGTGGTCTAGCGGTCAGAGTTCCTGGCTACAGATCCAGAGGTCCGGGTTCGATTCCCGGCGCCACCAGATTTTCTGAGAAGTAATGGGTCTGAACGCAGTCCACTTAGCATCCTGAGGAAAATTGAGGATATGTTTCAAGGAAATAGCTTCTTCGGTCTAGAAAACCGATATTAACGGGCGTGGAGGTTCGTTGCGCTAACCACGCGACACCCTCTATCCGCTAAAGTTGGCACTAACTTCGCCGACAAGCGACGGTCGCTCGGTCGGTATAGTTCGCTTGCGGACAAAAGGCGCGGAGTTCTACATCTTCTGTTTTAATGATCGAATATTAATCCAAGTAGTCAACCAGCAAACAGAGTAGAGCAGCAGATTGATTGATTAATTGATTGATTGGTTTACTCTTCGGCTCTGAAAATGAAGGCAGTGAATTTCTCTGAAACGTCGATGAATTACACGGAATTACACCCAGAAGATAATACTCTTAAAGTATGTATTTTATTAAGAAAATGATTGGAACTTCATACTTCCTACAAATTATATAATGATGTAAATACACTTCGTACACTTGCTGATGATTAACTGGTAACTTAGTATCTGCTTGAAAAATTATCACCATCCGGTTTCTATATGAAATATTTGTCAGTGCACACTGAAACTTGTGACATTCTGTTACGTCACTATCAGTATTTGTTTTTGGGTGCCTTTGTGTATTGTTAGNTGAAAAATTATCACCATCCGGTTTCTATATGAAATATTTGTCAGTGTACACTGAAACTTGTGACATTCTCTTAGTCACTATCAGTATTTGTTTTTGGGTGCCTTTGTGTATTGTTAATAGCTAGCAGAGCATAAGCTTCAGGGCCCTATAAAGTCAGAGGCTTCATTAACACGTAGGGTTTTGTGTTTTCATCGGGGTCATGCCCTTTGTAGGACCGACTGTTTGGTTCAGATGTAAGGAGATCATTATGTGTCGCCGCGTTTCCTAATAATTTGTTGACAGATAATGAGGTTAGCGAAACATAAGTAATAAAACAGCAAATGGAAACTGATGAACAAAAAAGAGTGAGATAGACGCACATAAATGAGAGAAAGCATAGAACCAGTTGGTGTATACATATTAAATTCCGCAATAACTTGTTTGATTATGTTTCTTGTATGACATACACGTGTTGTTATTTACTACTGCTATGATATCAGTTTCACAGGCTGACAAATGCCAACTCACCGAAGGATAGAGTTACATTTCAGTAATTATATCGTGTTGCTCCGGAAATAAATTACTTGAAAAGTTAAGGCATACTGAATATTAACGAGTAAATTTTGATTAGGATATCATACAAATCAACACAAGACATTGGAGGTAATGTACGTACTTTAGGATACACCTTAGAAATGTTTAGTCAAAAATTGTGTAGACGAAAGCGAAAATAATGTCAAAGAAACTGTAGAAACAAATATATAAATTTAAGAATGCCGTCTCCTGGGATATGACACCGTGTAGATATTGTGTAAACCGACGTTTCGGAGGTACATATCGCCTCCATCTTCAGAGTACAAAAAATCCGCGAGCGAGGAACCAGCGTTAGCAGGTGGCTGGAAGATGAACCCTTCCTGATCATCGCGATTACGTCCTGGGCGTTAGGAATGCTTTCTTCTGTGGGCCTGCTCCTGGTAGCGGACAAGACTTTAGTCGGTCGCCCTAGCAACTGCTCATACACTGATGATATGAGTGAACCTGACGGATATTGTTCATACACGATTCAGATGTGACGGAGTTTGGTTTGTATAATAATGAAACTAAAGAAAATAGTAACAGTAACATTTCCGTTGATTGTAGCCAGTTCTGTTGTGCGTTCATAGCTCATGTTGACAAAAGATCGTGTCGTATGAATGCGACGTTCAGAACAGTTTCAGAGAACATGAAGTCATATGGCTCCTGTCATGAGTTACAGATTAATCTCTACATGAATAAAGGCTCACAATTCATAACTTATTCTATAGCCACGAGTATTAAATCGCCAGCTATTTATGTATTTCACAAGTTGTAAAATATACGAGTACAACAGAATTTAACCCAGGAAGAGATATTCAAATACGAGACATTTCGAGAATATTTGGGGAGTTATCATACAACCCCAAAAGATGACAAAACATAGGGCGCCCACAGAGTCAGAGTTATTTTACGACTGGCGGTTATCAGTTCGTCTTAGCTACAACCCCTTGAGTACCACGACCAGTAATTTTATTTTCCAACTGAAAACTTGCGGTAATAGTTCTTATGTAACATCTTCTCTGACCAGAGGATGGGTCTGTCGTTTACAGTTGTTGCTGGTCCTCGCCAGCGCAGTCATTCTCAGGTTCGAGTTCCGCGGGACTCATGACCGCATTTTACTGTCTCAGATTCGAGACTCTCCTAACCTGGACGGCCAGATCCCCATATTTATATCCCCCAGGAACAGGGTGGTTCGGTTATACCTCCAAGTACTGGGTTCCTTTTTCATCTCCTCCTACAACTCACAGGGCTACGGTGCAGGTGTTCCACCACGGCTCTACACGAGAGGGCGCCCACAGTTAAGGTGGAGAGACTGACATATTCTTCAAGAGCATTTAAGAGACCAAACGTGGCTTAATCCCTGAAGATTGTGAGGATGACATATCAGGGGGCTGTAAATGCTCATTCTTCAGAATATGTGCAATGATCGAGACCTCCTTCTAGCCTGGCTGCAATGTGATTCATTTATATTGTTTAGTTTCAACTTACAGGCCAGAGGTCCTAATATGATAGGTGCGAGAGGTTTTAGCCTAACCTAACCTAACCTAACCTAATCTAATCTAACCTGTATAGTGATGATACCGACAGCATTGTTAAATATTCAACACCGAGTCGGGCGCAGGCCTTAGCACATTCCTGTCGACTCGTATTTGGAAAATTTCCTGTTCGAATCGCAATGCTGCTATCCTAACAGGATTTTCATTCTTTCCTTTTGTCTGTTCAAGCGAATTTAGTGATAGTGCCTTCAGGTAGGTTGTGATCCAGTCCTTTCAGATACTTAATATTCAGGATTATCTTTCAGTTTATTTTATGGCGTCTTTCAAAACGCGCCATCAGATCTAAATTTCCCATTGTTCACCCCTGTTCGAACGATGATTAACCGAATTAATAATAGAGAGTAAATTGGTGACAGGTGACGCACTGGTCGAGTGTAATATTCCACAAAGCTGTCATTCCTCGAACTGAAGAGAAAGTACGGTTCCCAGGTCAGACTGTTGAAGCTGCACATAGACACGCGTGCATATATGACAGGCTGAACAGATGTAGCTGACGAGAAATTAACTTGTCATTTATTGGCAGGAATCATGTTAAAGGCATGTTAAGTGGGTTTCTTGTCACCACGGCATGGCGCGTTCTCAGGTTTCGGATGGAGAAGACGGCCTCCAGATGTCGAGGGTAAAAGGTAAAGTTGTCCCTGTACTTAACTAATTAAGCACTACGCCATGAAAGCGAATGGGAGAGTGGGTGTACAGATCCATATTTTATTGACCTCGGCACTAGTTGGAGATGAGTGGTCAGCTCTACACCCCGGCCGCTTTACCCCCGGGTAAAGAGCCCCAGATACCCATTGAATAGGAGGCTGGGTGGGGCCCAGAGCTGGCCTGGACTTTATGGAGGAGAGAAAATTCATAACCCTACTCGGACTCGAACTCCGAACCCTCCGTCGTCCAGCCCGTAGCCAGTCGCTATACCGGCTACGTTATCCCAGCTCCAGATGTGGAGGGTAGTTACGAATATATTGAATAATCACCCGGGGACAGCCGAAAATGGGCGTTCCTCCAGCTCGGTGGTTTGGCATGTTATTAAAGGCTCCCCACCGTAAAAAATAACGTTACAAAATGTCACAGAGAAAGGAAGGCCTAGACATAGGTGGAAGGATAATATTAAGCAGGAGCTAAGAGAGTTAGGATGCGGTGTTATGGATTTGCTGGATCTGGTTGAAAATACTGACCAGTGATGGACTCTTGTGAACACGACATTGAACCTTCTGTCTCCAAAAAATGTTGGGACATTCTTGAGAAACTGCGCAATTGGCGAACTTCTCAAGAAGGGCTCAGCTCAACTCTATGGAGCTGGTTAGTCGTGTTATAAATCCGACCAGGGCAACCATTTCAATTGTTTTGCGACTTAGTTTAAATACGTAGCTTTATTTTGTACAAATTATGTCAAATGAAGGCATAATTGGAAAATCCTGGCAGTCCGTCTGCAT